AACCCAAAAGTTATGTAACCCGAGGGTCCACTGTACTATGACAATAAAAGGACACGGGATTTTAACACCATAAAACTGCCATTTTACATAAAAAACCTAATTTTTTTAAAGTAATGAGATGCCAACACTGGCTATATAGTACATTTTATCCTTATGTATAGGAACATCAGGAAATAATTATCTACCTTCCTTGCTAGAACAGTTTTGAATGGCCTGCACAATTCCTTTTTTGCAATACAGTGGTACCTTGGTTCCCAAACAGCTTAGTTGTCAAAGTAATCAGCTCCTGAACACCGCAAACCCAGAAGTGTTCCAGTTTGCAAACTTTTTTTGGAAGCCCAATGTCCCACACGGCTTCCACAGCTTCCGAATGAATGCAGAAAGCTCCTGCAGCCAACTGGAAGCCGCACTTTGGTTTTCGAACAGTTTCGGGAGTTGAACAGACTCCAATAATTTTATGCTGGTAACCTGGGGAAAGTGCTTCCAGGACTCTCATAGGAATATGATTAGTTGTGGGACAGGAAGCTGGAGCAGGTGAGCCTTTAGCCTGACCCAAACAGCAAGTAAATCTTGAAGAATGAAGCTCACCCTGCAGAAGTCTCCCTCATATCACGGAATGTAGAATCAGAAGGGGCCTTCTTTTACAAAGCCAAAGCCAATATATAGTAAAAACTTACATTTGCTGAATTATGGAAGAGTTCACTTTCAAGAAGTTGACCTGCAGTTGGTCTGTGCGATGATACCGAACTGGTAAGCAGCTTAATGTATTTAGTTTGTATAGGCCATTTCCTGCTAAAGGAGAGGGGGATGTTGCCATTTCTTAAGCCCATCAAAACTTCAGTTCTTTCCATTTCTGTTCCAAATGGATGGAAGAGTTCTAACAGGATCACACCTAAGCTGTACATATCTGACTATTGGCAGAAAAGAGAAATATGAGCATTAGCGCACAAAATAATTACGTCTTAAGATAAATTATGAATGCATTACAAATGGCCTAAAACCGCATTCAGCGATACAGCTGTAAAAATATCAGAAAATAACCTTCTAATGTTTCAAGAAGCTTGCCCAGAAACAAATGCCTTTTAAAAAACAGGTCTTGGTAATTTTCATGCAACCATACTTAATAAGCCATGAAATTTCAAACAAACATTGGAGTGCCATTATATTTTTGTCCACCATAAAATCAGGCCACTTGACTTGACATACACGGTCCATTTTTACCTCATCTGTGGGCATAAATAATTGTTTGCAGCTGTTCTGTTCCCTCTCATCATTGCAAATAGAACTCTCTATTTTTACTTTTTGCATTTAGCTGTTTCCATTTTGAATGTTACACCATATGGCTCTAGTGCCTTCTTTTTGAACTGACTGACTTTGCACCAGCTCCTGTCCATCAGCTTGCTTTTGTTAACACCCATCAATAATGCTCTTGAACATGTATGCCCGATTACTAAAACGGAGGTAAAGTGTTTGTTTGAATGAATGAATGAATAAATAAATAAATAAGGGTTGAGTGGCTGTACCTTGAAGTCATAGTGAGAGCCTTGTAGCTGTTCAGGTGAGGCATACAGGCAAGTACCCACCCCAGAAGTATGTATTAGATCTATGCAACAAAAAAGACAAAATTTAGAATTCATTCATAGGTTACCACACTGCCAATTTTTAAGTAAAGGCCAAACTGCTTTGAAATTACCATTTATCTTATTTGCATTTAGCAACTGGGTTGTATCCTCTTGTATAATATCTCTACAGGCCAGCCCAAAATCTCCTATTTTCACATGGTGGTCAGGTCCTTGTAGAAAGATATTTCTGGGCTGTGAAAACAGGATAATGTAAGCTGGTTATATATTTCACAAAATTTGAATATTTTATGCATGAAACCTTGCATTTCTCACTCATTCATCTCACTTAATCTAAGAACTAAGCTGCACTTGGCGCAGAGTCCAAGCTTCTCAGCTGCCTTTATTTTTGGTCTGTCTCTAGAGATGAGTTGGCAGCAAAGGGACAGACAGACAGACAGACTACTGATCTGACATGCATTTATCAAAGATATAGCTGAGGCACTGGGCAGTTACCATAGCAACTGGCTTGGCTGACTTTGCACCTGCGTCAAGCTCATCCATGGGGTGGTTTACGCTCTTGAAGGAAATTAACCCCTCATGTCCAGTTACTCCAATAGCCACATGAGAACGGGCCTTTTCAGTGCTGGGTGGTCTGTCTGTGGCATGTACTCCCAAGGGAAACACATTGGGTGCCATCACTACATTTTATCTTGTTCAGTCGCTTTGAGAATTCTTACTTTTGTATAAAGTGACTGACAGATGAAATAACAATTCCATGCAGGTGTAGGCCAGGATCGACAAACAGGTAAACAAGTTAAAACAGTTCAACGCATCGTCAGAGATCTACAACCTCTTTTAGACAATGACAGTTCTCTTTCTCAAGCTCTGGGAGGAAGACCTTTCATTGCCTACAGACAGCCACCCAATCTTAAACAACTCCTCACCCACAGTAATACAACAACCAGACTTAACATGGACACTGGTACCAGAGCCTGAAATAAACCCAGATGCCAACTTTGCTGCCACATACACCAGGACAACACCATTACTGGCCCCAACAACATCAAACATACCATCTCAGGACTATTGCTCGTTTTCTAACATTCTGTATGCCATCAAATGCCAACAGTGCCCTTCAGCCCTCTATATTGGACAAACAGGACAAACCCTATGCCAAAGGATAAATGGACATAAATCTGATATCAGGAATCACAAGACAGAGAAACCAGTAGGAGAACACTTCAATCTCCTAGGACTTTCTATACAAGATCTCAAAGTAGCTGTCTTATTACAAAAGAATTTCAGAAATAGACTGGAAAGAGAAGCTGCTGAATTGCAACTCATTACCAAACTTAAAACCATGGAGAGACCTGGTCTGAATAGAGACATTGGATTCTTATCTCATTATACATGATAAAGCTATTTTTAGCCATGTCACCCCTTGCTTTTTCCTGTAAGACCAATTAACAGTTGTCAACAGGTTTACCACACCTATCAGCCAATCACCCATTCCCACCAGCCTTCTGAGTAATACACCCCCCCCCAATCCTCTCACTATATATATGGGTCCGGTGACTTCTGTTTCAGTGTATCTGAAGAAGTGTGCATGCACACGAAAGCTCATACCAATAACAAACTTAGTTGGTCTCTAAGGTGCTACTGGAATGATTTTTTTTAAAATTTTGTTTCGAAACAGGTAAACAGTGCAAAAAGGCAACACATATGCTTCTGCTGCGCAAACCCTCTGTTTCTTGCACAGCTTCTTTACGAACTAAGCTTGGCCCTCCCTCTGCCCGCACGGGAGAGCCATGGTATCATCTGGCTGGTTCTAGAACCAGGCATTGTGCATAATCACAAAGGAACGATGGCTCAAGATTCCTTTGCATTTTCTCCAAACTAAGGGTTCTCAGCTGCACGTTTTCTCTTGGTAAACATGGGCAATCTGATTAGAGGTTCCTATGGGAAGAAACCACCCCATGAATTAGATGAAAGGCAGAAAATGCTATTTGACGCTGTAATGGACAACGATGGGGCTACACTTCAAAGTTTAATGTATTACCTCTTGGTCCACGAACCAACTATTTTCCGGGTAATCATATGCCTACAATTACTTACTGTTCCATTATCAAGAATCCTCCCCGTTTAAGATCAGAGTTAAAGCTACCTCATGCTGGTTCAGGCTCCATAAACTCAGGAAATTGGAAGCCAAGGCTGATGCCTTAACAGACATGCTTGATGATCAGCAATGATGCAATATCACAAACTGTGCTTGATTACAACTTGGCCTCTGTTCACTTTTCCTGGGACAGGGTGATTTGTGAGAGAAGGTTCAGTGTTGGGTGGGATGCATGCCATCCATGGCAAACTGGGTGCACGTGATCATATGGAACATATGGTCCCCATGACAGTTTCTTAGGTTTCCAAATGTGTCCACAGAGCCAAAAAACCCCCTCATATAACTGCTGTACCACACACTTATATTTCATAAGTAAAGGAACAGACATTCTACATATAAGCCACTAGGTGACTCCCTCTGCAAAAATTGTTCTCCTGGCAAAACTTTAGTTTCCATTTTGTTTTCTGTCATGCCTGACACTATTTTGATAGTATTTGTATTTAATATATTTTAATGGGGCAGGAAAACCTTAACAACCTTTAAACTGCTGACCAGAACTTCACCTAACCAATGAAAGTACGTATGTGCTCTGCAGCAAGCCTGAAGAAAGTACATCAGTAGTTTTCACCAAAATTGTAAAGAATATGAGATTTCTTAATACCCGAGGGGGGAATTTTCATCACTTTTTAACTTGTTGTGACTGCGGCAATTTTTACCAGGTCAGTTAGAAATTGGGCACTTTTTGTAGACCTCAGCAGGTAGTTCATGTATGCCAAGTTTTAAGTCAACATTTTGGCAAATGATCTTTCTATAAGCTATAGAATTTTAAGGTTATATGACAGAACTTTGTTTTTGCTATTCTCCTTATAATCTAAAAGACAACAGTCTGGATACAATAAGACCTTCATATAGAAAGTTCAAGAGGCTATTTATACAGATGCTGGACACAGATCCTATATTAATACCAAACAGAATATTAATGCCTTTGATTAGTTAAGGTGTTCCTCTGATTTCTGAAAAAGCCACCATATTTTGGTACTGATACCTAAAAGAACAGGCTGGCTGAAAACAGTCTTTTACATGTCTACTCAGAAGTAAGCCCCATTATGTTCAATAACCCAGGAATTCCAAAACTTACTAAGCCCCATTGAGTAGAACTGCATAGAACTGCAGTAAGATTGCAAGTCTAAGCACACTTACTGAATTAGTGGACTTTTTTCAGTTTACAGCATGGGGCTACATGTTGAATGTAAAATAAGATTTGAGAATAACTATTATGCACTTCTTATAAAACTGGCCAACTTTTTAAATAATTACAGATTTATAAAAGCACCTCAAAAACTAGGCACTTGTGCAAGATACCTTATTGTAACAATCTCTGAACAGTTTTCCATGCATGCAAAATAAGTGTAGCTTTTCTTCCACAACATTTTAGTCATTGTATACAGTACTCTATAGAAGCACGCACCCTTTCAAATCAGAGTGGAAAGACAGTTTTAGGGCAGTTGTATATTGGGCCACATGCATCATAAATGCAATCTGATATAAGCCCTTCTGATAGGGCTAATAAAAATCCTTAGTTGTACTTCAAACATGCATAAAAGGGTTATCAGATAAACTTTGATACCTATTCTGGATCTCTCTCCTCTCCCTGCCCCCGGAACCAATATGGCAGCAAAAGTTCGGGAGGAAGCCTCTCGGAAGATATATGAAAAGTACCTTTCAAATTGAACCTCCTGAAATAAGGTAATGTTTAACTATATATTATAGTTAGGTAAGAGATCTGGGAATCCTTTGGTGGGCAGAATAATTCCCAAATGCCGCCTCTATACAAACCCTATATGCTTGGCCAAAGCTATTCAGCGGAAAGTCCAGAAAAGTAATGAGACGTTAGCCAGGTTTGGTTGGGTCATGCCAAGAAGAGCCAAATTGTAGAATTTCTCTGGAACGTCCTACACCAAAGAGACCATGGCCTCCAGGCTTCTGCCAGCCGTCAGCTGTGGGCAGGGCTGGTGTTAGGAATTGGCAGCTAAGAGTCAAGCTTACACTCTTGTATGCCTTTCCAGCATTGTGCTAGTATTGCCACACGCTCCCCCAGCTCAGTAGATTAAAGGCCCCACCAAGGGATGGGGGCTGCCTATGGAAAACCTATCATATGCATTAGAACGGCACCACCTCATTTGGAGTTGACTAGTGGACCCCCAAGTCCTTTGAAGGCCAACACAAGCACAAAGAATCGCCTGTGTGTGGCACAATCTCCACTCCTTTAAATGAAGGGGCTTTGTTTTATAAAGCAAGGCACCTTGCAGTTGGGAATCCAGCAGGCTGTGGTGCTAAGGAGGACAGTAGCAGAGGGAAGCAAACCTTTAGTAGCCAAACCCTCAGGTTCAGCTCTGTGGTTGCAGCTAATCTAAGATGATCCATGATATATGCCTTATCATACTTTTTGCATCCTCATACCCAAACAACATGTACTGATAAAGGTCTAGAAGAAAGAAGAAACTATAAGAAATATAGTTTTTGCTTGATTGTTGAAGGGTAATACTGGACAAATTCTTTAGAGAAAACCACCCGGCGGTTAATAAGGGTGGTGGCTGATGGAAGAATTGTATGGAATTTTACCACCTATTATATCACTTCCCAAATACAGAACTGCCCGATGCCCCTTGAACATGCATCAGAGAATTGCACAGTGCAATGAAGAAAACTACCCTCACATCAAACCAGAGGAAGACTTCCAGGTGAATTCTGATGCAATCATTTACCATGGTCATAGCCTTCTACATTTAGCTGTAGCCAACAGGTATCATCAAACTCTAATACACCTGCTGAAGAATGGAGCCAATATAAATGACAGGGATAGGTTAGGCCAAACTGCTCTTCACCTAGCTTCTGAAATCCTCGACCAGCAGGCAATTACCATGTTACTCCTCTGTGGAGCGAATGCCAATCTCGCAACTCCAGATACCAAAGAAACTCCTCTCCACTTTGCTGTCTGGTCTTCAGCCTGCAAGGCTGGCATAGTCTTAGCAGCAGGTGATAAGTGTGTTAAGCTACTGCTGTGCAATGGAGCAGATGTACACATGAAAGACTGGGAAGGGCAAGAAGTTATTCACAGCGCTTGCCGAAGTGGCAGAAGAGATATAATAAACCTCTTGCTTGATAATGACGCAGATGTTAACGCTTTAACGCAGGAGGAGGAGTCTGCACTTTTTCTATTTCTTGAAAAAGAGACCAATCTAAGGCAGGGAGACGTACTGAAGAGATTGCTAAGCTTATCATATCCTTTGAAATTAACAAACAGGGAAGGTCGTTTACCCAAAGCACTCAGCCATCCATGCTGTGGACTGCTGAAAGATATGCTCCTGAGAGTGTCTTCAGAGGTCTTGTCTTTGGAGGATATTTGCAAATTCAACATCAGGAAGGTATATCGAGGTAACATGAAATTCTGGCTAAAAGGAGTGATTCCAACCAGCTTGTGGCATTCCATATACATCAATCAAGAGTTCTCCTATGCTTCAAAAATAAATTATTTTTGATTTACTGTGCAACACACATTTTGGAACGCTATCAGACAAGAAGAGCAGAAAGAGGGCCCCGTAAAGCTTTCAAAAATAAGCTTCCTTGTTTAAATTAAATAAAATTTGGAAAAAAAACTAGTGAGAAACTTGAATTTGGCTTTATCTTCTGAAGCATTACAAATTCTGTCGAGTGTTATTTGAATAACGTCCATTTAAACTAGTCTGTTAGGGTAAAAGATTTGTAAGAACAATGGGAGTAGATTTCTACATACAAAAAGTTCCACTTGTATGGCATGGTTTCTTGGTCATTATTAAGATTGTTATCATAGCAATAGCTCCCTTGATGCAATGGAATCAGCTCCCAAAGCTCGGAATGAAATCACAAAAGGATTTACCAGGTATGGGCTATAGGCATCTCAGCTTTATTGTCCATTATTACTTCTTCTTCTTCCTCTTCCTCCTCCTTCCTCCCTCTACTTCCTTCTTCTGCCTTCTCCTCATTCTTATCATCATTATACAGTGGTGCCTCGCAAGACGAAAAGAATCCGTTCCGCGAGTCTCTTCGTCTTGCGGTTTTTTCGTCTTGCGAAGCAAGCCCATTAGCGGATTAGCGCTATTAGCGGCTTAGTGATCAGCTGATAAGCGGCTTAGCGGATCAGCTGTTAAGCGGCTTAGCGGATCAGCTGTTAAGCGGCTTAGCGGATCAGCTGATAAGCAGCTTAGCGATCAGCTCTAAGGCTAGCGATCAGCTGATAAGCGGCTTAGCGGATCAGCTGATAAGCGGCTTAGCGGCTTGGGGAAAAGGGGAGGGAAAGGGAAAAAACCCTGCAGGAACTCGCAAGACATTTTCGTCTTGCGAAGCAAGCCCATAGGGAATTTGTTTTGCGAAGCACCTCCAAAACGGAAAACCCTTTCGTCTAGCGGGTTTTCCGTCTTGCGAGGCATTCGTCTTGCGGGGCACCACTGTACTGCCTTTCCTCAAAGAAGCTCAAGATAGTGTATTTGTTTCTCCCCACTACACACACAATGTGATCCTCACAATAACCCTGTGAGGAAGGTCAGTTCAAAAGATAGTGGCTTCATTATAGCCTAGGATGATGGGAGCTGGAGTCCCAACAACTTCTGGGGGACCACACCTTGGTGCACAAAACTGTCTCACCTGGCACTGAAAAGACCACAAAGAACACAGTAGGTGAGCTTTACTGGTGTAGTTGTTCCATAACCAGGATGGCAACCACCAAGAAGGCCCTCTCCCTGGTAGCTACCCACCTTTTTCCCCAGTGGGGGTACCTGGAGCAGTGCCTCTGGAGAGATCTTAAGGTTCAGGTAGCTACATATGGAAGAAGTCGGTCTTTTGGGTAGCCTCATGACAAGCTGTTTAGGGCTTTAAAGGTTAAAATTGGGCCCAGAAATTGTACCAACTGTGCCCCAGCTGCACAGATAATCCCCACCTCCTCCACAATTCCAAGTTCCGAGTGAGAATTTTACTTACTTTAATGTCCCGATGCATGACTCCCATACTGTGGATATAATACACTCCTTCAAGCAGTTCTTGGAAGATCTTTAATGTCCACTGCTTGTCCACATGGTGATAAGGACCTTTAAAAAAGGGGTGGGGAGTGAAGTATTTTATAAGTGACAGCATAATACATCCAGCTATTTCAACAAAGAAGTTAATATGAAAATACAGCATCTGCAGTGCTGGCTGGGGCTGATGGGAGGAATAGGCTAAAACATCTGGAGGATACTGGATTGGGGAAAACAGAACTAGAACAAAGGTCCATCTAGCTCTGACAGGTAGCAGCTCTCCAATATTTCAGGCAAAGGGTCTTCCCCAGCCCTACCTGCCAATGCCAGAGATTGAACTCTTGACCTCCTGCATGCAATGAACTACAGCACCTCTGCAACTATAAGCAGGGGCCCACACATTTGTGGTGGCAACTTGCTACTGACCATTTCCACCCTCCCAAGTTCTCTGTGCATGTCATATAGTGCTTGAGTCTTGGAGCTGGCAGATGAAGCCCCTCTCTCTGTCCCTCTGCTGCCGGCTCCAAAACTCCAGAGTGCAACGTGAAAAGCCATTCCTTTCAATGAGGATTTTCATCAGTTGTGGTGTGTGCAGATGAGGGAAAACCTCAGCAGTACAAAGATGAAAATTCTCTTCTCCACATCCCAGCTAGACAGGGAGAAGGATCATGCGGACTGAGCAGGAGCACCCGCCCATGGAAAATAGCTTTTCGGAAACCTGGCTTTAGGATTTACAAATAAGGAAGAAAACATTTGCCACTTTCAAATGCAGACTAAGATTCATTGCCTTTATTGTTATGGAAATCAGCTTAAAAAACAACAGGCAAATACTAGAAGCACTTTTTATAGCTGCCCAGAGAAGAATATTTATTTATATTTTAAGTCTATCTTAAAGGCAGGAAATCACGTTAACATTGAATCTCCCCCACCACTCTGCCTTCAAAAACAAAACTTACTGGAAGCATCCTCTGTTTTCAAACATACTTTGTTTCTTTCAGCAATCCAGTCCCACAATGAAATTTCACACAGCTGCATCTGTATGTGAAGCATAAGGTGATACTCTATCTGGGAAGAAAAATACAAACATTTCAGTGTGTTATACATACACATGCACCCACACACCACTTTATCAGATCATGTACAACTTCCAACACATTTTTAAAAATAAAATTTTATTCATTCGTCCATCCATTTCCCCCAGTCTTTCCATCCTGAGGGGTGGAGCACTAGGGCTGTTACATTATAGGTGAAAATGTGTGTTCATTTCCACCCCTTTTCAGCTCCCAAGAGTAGGAAAGGATTAAAAAAAAAAGTAAATATAAAACTAGGATGTGCATATTCAAGAATTAAGTCAGATGGGACATGTTTACAAACAGAATAAAGTAAACCAAGAAGGAGGCGGCCCAAAGAAAGAAGCTGCCAATCGTAGAATCGGAAAGCAAAATTCATCAGATATATCAACGTTTATTTAATCCTGCAAGCAACCTCAATAATAAAAAGCAGTCTATAAACGTTTTAATAAATAACAGGTCTTCCAATGGGGCACTTCTGGTGTTGCAACATGTCCCTGTGGTTTGGCAGGTCCTATCCTGTGGAAATCCCTGCTGGTAGAGGTTTGGCAGAAGTCATCCCTGCTCACTTTCAGACACCTTCAGAAAACAGTATTATTCAGACAGATCTTCTGAACTTAAGATTCCTTGCCAAACAGCTTCTATTGACATTTGGTGTTTTTATTCCAGCACTTTTTTTTTAAGGTTGCATACCACTTTGCGATATTTTATATGAAAGAGAAGCTTTAAAATATTATAAATAAAATCAGTCAAACAAGTCCAAAAGCCATCTCTAGAAATATAGCTAGGTTTTGGATTTATGCTGCACAGTTGCTGAAGATTATTCTCCACATGTGTCAAGGGGTAACTAAGTATGTTTAAGAGGAACCCGCATTTACCTGGCACTGATGCCGAACAGATATCCCCTTCTGGGAGTATTCTTCATCAGTACAAGAATCATTTGTACTAACACTGCCAAGGCTAGCATGATTGCAAGGGGATACAATTGATGGATGATTTTCATTATCTCTTGATCCATCGACTGTGTTATTCATGCAGCTGCTCTCGGGCAATTCAACAGGTAGCGCACATGCATCCATTTTATTTCCTTTACGGTCTCTGCCACCGGAAGATTCAGCAAAGACAATGGAACTGCTGTCTTCCATATCTTGAACGCTGAACTGATCTCTGCAAGAAATGTAAGGAGAGAGACAAAGAACTGTGAGCGGGAGAGAAAATACCTGCTACTGCTGTTCCTCAAACGCTGTGCCAGAGTTTGTATTGGTTAACAAGGTTAACATAGTGTAATTAACAGGGTCTGCTGTCACCTCTCACTCTTCTGCATCAGACCACCCTTCTCCAGGAAGTCTCCTGACAGCTGGGGTGGGAAGGAGAATGGAACAGTGTGCAGCAGGGCATGGCAGACTGGAGGAGCAAACAGCAGCACTCCACACTAAAACCTTTTGCTGCAGGACCCACTTCTAGAGTTCAAAAGCAGTTCCCGTGCTTCCGCTTGCACAAACATTTATATAAATAAAACATGTGAAATTAAAATGTTTTGTTTGGATGAACAAGCTGTTAGCTGCTGCACTACAGCAGGTAGGAATGGAATCGCTAGCTGCAAAATGTCAATCTCATGCCTACTAAACACGCAGCCTTTTCCATGCCTGGGCTCTAGAAGTGGTCTGTGGCTTCTATAGGCACAGACACACATGTAGGATTTCACAGAGACCATGAAATAGAAAACTTCTGCTCTCCCCTCCAGCAAGTTTTAAAATAACTAGTCATGGAAACATTTTTCAGCAATCAGGAACAAGGTGAAGCAGTATTGTTTTTCAACCTGACAAAAGGAATAACAACGGTAAAGATATATTTTTATATTACGTGGTTTAAGAAAAGATCCTTGCTATAGGTTAAGACAACATTCTGCTATATTTTTGGCTTTTATTTGAAAAAGACCAAAAGAGATTGTTCTTACTGATACATAGGATACATACTCAGAACTCTGCCCAGAAGACATTTTGAGGGATAGTAAATTCAAAGTTGTCTCACCTACAAGTTGGATGAAGAGAAACACAACATTTTACAACGACAGACTGACTGTACCATTGGATTATAGTAAAATTATACCTTTTAGTTGCCTACTTTATGAACATGTAGGTGGTTTAAAATCTCAATAGCTAATAAGAACAAATTATTATATTAACTAAGATCAGATACTATATTTATGAATGCAAAACCTATAAAAAGACAACCCCACGAACAATTTTTATATCTTCAAATAATTTATGGAGTGACCAGAACAGCACACGGCTTTCCCAAAATTGATACACCATGGAGTTGTCCTACAATATATTTATTGCTTTTGTTTTAACCTTTCCCGCACCAGAGTTGTCTCTTTTTTTAATGCCACACTAGGGACTGGGGAAATTTCAGAAAGCTGTTTATTATGATCCCAAAATATTTCTATGGGCACCAACAGCCAGTTTAGGATGTGCGATGTGTTATGTACGACAGAGAGAAGCCACAAAACTAATGTTGTACTCGCCTTTTGGGCTTGCTGGTTGAACATGTTCCATCCAAGCAGTGTGATATCCCACAATATTAGGGTGCTGCAACCCAGCCAACACTTTAACTTCCCGCAACACCTACAAAAAAAACAAGACGGAATGCATCCTGTTCTTATCATTGGCAAGCCATTGTTTACCAGAATTTCAAGAA